ACCCATACAAATGCCCTCCCTTCACAATAACCGAAGCGTGGAGGGGGGAAAGACTGCGCTAAGCAGCGAAATCCAAAATGCATTTGCAAAAAAATAAGTTTAAAATCTAAATTAAACGTGCAATTATGCTTCCTTAGCCCGCGTCATACAAAGCTGCAGCAGTCGCGGGCGGCGGTGGCGGGATGCATAGGTGACGGCATAACGCACCAGCAAAGTACCGTGTGTACCCCTCAGCCGGAAAAAAACAAGATACGCCTGGAATTCCTGCGTTGTCGGCTCATGACACGAGTTTGCAGAATAAAAAAAACAGGGGGGGACCCACTCGCAAGCGTATGAAATTTTCAAAACGTGACTGAACTGCAAAGCCCCGGATTCAAGACTCCCCGTGTAGGCAAGAAAGGGGCATTTTCATTTTCGGTCTGTCAGCAATAACCCGCTCAAGTATTCCCACCAAGGGCTCTGCAAGGTCGACGGTGGTCACACGGCGGTGCATTACAAGCACGTGCAAAAGGTTGTGTTTTGTGATTTTCACATCGAGGGGGCGAGTACGTTACGCGAATGCGGAACATTTCACGAGGGTTTATTTTGGGGGGAGGTGGGGGCGGGGGATTATAAATGATTCATATGTAAGGCTTGAGGCGCAATGGCTTTGAGTAAATAAGCAAGGTTCTCTATTGATAAGGTGCTCGTGAATGCATTATTATATGACAAGTTTGAATTAAAAGCGCAGAGCAAACGAAACCCGAATTGCCTTTCTAAAGAGAAGCGTTATGCTGGTGGTTAGTTTACCGAGGCATCGCTGAGGCAGCAAAAGCAGGGCAGCATTGACGAGGGGAAAAAACAAATATGATTTCCTTTAAAATTGCTTTCATGGCACGGGCTTGCAAACATAAAGACAAACACACACATTTACATAAACACACATGTACCTAAACACACAGATTAACAAACACGCACACGTCCACACATACAAACACTGCCACATGACATCCACGGACATAAACATACACAAACAAAACATACATCGACACACACACACACGAACGCACAAATAACACATGCACGCATACACACGGATACAAACGCTACCCCTTTAAAATATCACTGCGGAAAGCATAGATATTGCAAGCATTAGCGTTAATTTACATAGGATAGATAAACTCTCCAAAATAAAGCAACCCGGGTACTTTGCTCTCACAAAAGAAGCAAGAGTGTGACTGCTTAACGAAGCCAGATGTTTTGAGGGCCCAGTTTAATGAGGGTTTACCAACTGCTAGTTACGACGGTTTGTCAAGAGATGGCACCAACTGCAAAAACCCACAAGACAAACACACACAAAAAAACAGATCACGGGCCAATGCGCCCACAAACACATCCATAATTTACTGGCTAACAACACTGGAAGCTGCAGCGATAAATCATCTCTTCAGCCCCATTCCAGGTCTCGCGCAGGTCTCATTGTCGTTCCATTTATTTTATTTTTGCACAGGTGGAACAGGGGGTTTCCGTTTGTCTGGAAAAGCAATATTTGGCATGGAAAAAAAAAGATTTAACTTAGCCTAAGATAGTTAAATTTAACGAAGGTTTGTCTGGTGAATATGCAGTAAAAGGCCCAGAGTTACTCGATGTATGTGCTGTTATCTGCCACAAAAGAAAACAAGTTGAAATGTTGCATTAAAATGTACAGCCCTTTGTGAATTCAATGCTGGGTGTAGTTGTTTGATGAGACTTTGCCATGCTAAAGAGAGTGGGTTGGTCAGATGGAACATCCAAAAATGTGTTCAGAAGTAACTAGTCAGTAATGTCAGCAGTGGCCGGTAATCGAACTCAGCTGGTCAGGTTCGTTACGCAGTGCGCCAAGCACCATGCCACCGTTCCTCCCCTTAATATAGTATGAATAATCTTATACTATAATCCAGATGATAATTGCTTTATATCTCCGTGGTGGTATGACCAATAGGGGATTACCCCAAAGCCCAGAGGATGCTTACCAATATAGTATTGGTCATTTCAGTTGGAGTTTAACAATGAAATCAAATGGGATGTGGGTTTCAATCCCAGGAAAAAAAAGGTACAGCCCTAAAATGTATGCATGTTGAGATGTATTGTTCACGCCACTGCTGGTGGAATGGCTAGAGGGGGCTCTTTGAGAGCACCTTTTAAATGTGTTTTGGCCTACTCTTCCACTCTGGACACATGTATTGGCAAAGGTGAAAGTACTCACGCTTTACCCCACCACATACTACTTTCTGATGGACGAGTTGTAGTGTGTATCCACGTATACTGCTGGGTGGATAGAGCCAGGAGGATTTAAGAAACATGCCCAGAATTTAAGAAACATGGCCACTCTTCTGAATGCCACGCCATGAGATCTCGAACCGGTGACATCTGGATTGCAAGGCCACGTGGCAGCATCCCCATCCCAGCAAATAATGATAGGACTGGAGAACAATGGCACAGGCTCTTTAGTGTCTGGCCTAATGCAGACCACGTGATTTGCAGATGTAGGACATGGAAGGGTTGTAGCCAGAAACTGTAAATCCAGTCATTTAGAATGGACCGAGTGGAGAATTCAACAATAACACTACCACGCAGCCATATCCTATGTGTATGTTTATATGAGTGTATGTGTATGTATGTGTAGGTTCACTCAGCCTCAAATGAGTACCTGGTGCAATGTGTAAACATCACCACTGGGGAGACGAGGGCGGTCAGGCATGGCGCTAGCCGTCCATCCCTTTGTGTGTCGTACCGGCCTTCAAAGCTGCTACTCGCTAACAGCACTTGCTCCAAAAGTCTGCTAAGGCTATACAGAGTTCATTGTTGTTTGTGTTGTATGTGTGTGCGCGTGTATGTTTTTAACTCTTCAGAATTTTTCTGACCCACATACCGAATTGAAACCCAAATACATGAACCAATTAAGCCAGCTCAAACACAATAATACATATGCCTAAATACAGACGCCATAATGAACGCCGGGAATGATAAAACAATACTATGAAACAAATTCCCACCATATAAATGCATAAAAAAACAATACCATAGAGAGAAACTTTAGCAATAATTTAGCCAAAATAAAACCAGCGTGTCAGTGCATCAGACGTTTTTTGTTTATTAAAAATTTCCTAACAACTTTTTTTCAAATCAAGAAATTTGTACATACTCACTCAACTAAAAAATATATATTTACCATGATCTAATACTGTACACCTTCAATTCTGCTGTTCGTTGCTGGACAATTGGCATTTTGGGCCTGTGCTCAGCATCCGTGATTAAAAACAAAAGACAGATTTGCTACGAAAACCAAGATATTGTGTTCCGAAGGCACAGCACACCACGCGCTCGATGACGACGACGACAATGGTGATGCCTAATATAATTTATGAGGCGGATGGAGAGAGAGAGACATTTTACCGGTGGTAAAGCAGGCAGCGAGGCAGACAGAGACGACGCAGATGGAGACGTATACGAGCTTAGCAAGCTCCGTGCTCAAAATCGTTCAGCCAGAATGGGGTAGAGTGGGGGAAAGAATGCACGTCTCTAGTTGACCCTCATCAGCATAAAATAATTCACATGAAGGGGAGACGTGGCTTTATAATTTAGCCCCACACCACAAGGCAAATGCGCCAATTGCAAGGAAATCCCTGTAAGGTGGGCCTAGCCCAACAAATGTTGAGATCTTTCAATTTTGCGTGAATTATTTAGTTTTAAATGGATAAAAAAAATGCCAGCTGGAACAATCAACTATCGATCAGTTAATCTATTGATGATTGCTTTGATTAATTGGGTAATGGTGATCTGTAGTGATAGCAGTAATTTTACCAGCTAGCACTGTTAACTAATTGTATTTAATCCAGAATAATGTTACCGTCTTAAATATAACAGCTTCTAAAGCAATGAAAAATGAGCAATTAAGAAATTAAAAATGAACAAAGGTCGGTGATAAGAACTAGGAATGTTTTGATTTAAAGCTTTCGTGACTGCAGGGATTCATATTCTTGGTTCTTTCGGTAAAGTCACGTAGCGGCCGAAATCCCTTCTACGTGACTTTACCGAAAGAACCAAGAATATAACTAGAAATGTGTTTAATTTTGTCATGCGTGGATCAGTATATACGGGAGCTGCACTTTCCTAGGCATTCCTCATCTGCTGTGTATTGGCAGTTTTCATTGCATCAGTTAAAATATCATGTAAAAAAAAATTATTATATTGTATTTATATTTTATGGTCAAATGCTACAATATATTGCTGTGGTCAAGCGATAGCAGGTTCGCACGACCGTTCAAGAGGTTCGCGGTCGAATTCGGCAGGCCGGCCTGGTTAATACTGCGAGCGTATTTACCGTAAACAAAACAAAAAGTGAGCACCATCTGCTTCAGAGTGGACGGTAAAGATCCCGTGACGTTACCGAAAGAGGAGTCGGCCAACAATGAGTGCCGGCGTTGTGGTTAAACATTTTGCACAAATGTGAGAAACTACTTGCAAATTACTTAATATCGAAACACCGAGCAGGACCCTCCTGAAAGAGTCTCGAGACTCAGAGAGCAGGACCCCCCCCCCCTGTATAAACACGAGCATAATAATAAAATAATATACGAGCTGAAAGTTCCAACAGTGTTGGCACTCGCTGATGAAAACGTCTATCTTTGGAGAAAGGTAGGGGTGCGAATGTTGCATGGGACCAGCGATGCCATTTGACACGCCGTCGCGATACACACTTGGCACACTCAGAGCTGCCCCACGACGCTCGCGTACACAGCAGACAAACTCAAGGCTGACAGCCAGACTAAGGCACACACAGCCACGGAGACACAGGATGGGATGTCAGGTTGCGTAAACAGGATATATGACCAAACACTTTCCAAGGACAGGAAATATTTGTTGCAGGGGGTTTCCTTGCAGACTTTACAGGATTTCGGCCGCTATGACGTGTTTATGTAGGATGATGGCCATGATTTAGCTCGCGATACTTCCCCGAAAACAAGGTGACGTGTACTCACCCAAGAAGGTGCTGGAGATGAACTCGGAAACTTGATTGCCAGATCGACTCATTTCTGAGAGGTGGGTAAGCTCCCGGTTCAACATCCTCTTGAACTGCAAGGAAACGGGAAAAAACAGAGCATTAAAAAACACACTCAGGGTCCCACAAATCTACACCTCCTGAGTACAATTAAAGGCGAAAACAATGTGGGTTTACAGCGCGTCGAAATGTGACCACTTCTCAGTGTGACTGTAAACTATTGTGATTATTATAAATTGTGGTTGAGAATTATTTCCAGATGTGGTCCTCCCATTCCATTGCACATCATCTTGAGATGGTGCTGCATTTACAACATCTTGCAACTCCAGCTCCCATTGCATTACTGCATGGCAATAGCAAAAGTGAGTCAAATCCGTTCTCCGCTCATGATCTGTTTAGCGTTCGGTGCCAGTGGTGCGTGCCAATTTTACGTTCCTATGGCAGGGGCCGAGTGAAGCTATAGGCCAACCCCGCTGTCGTACGATACAATGTGGATATCCGTAACGTCGCAATGTGTCCTGCATCTATGGACCTTCTTCAGACACAGTGGGCATATTTTTTTTTTTACACTACCCTACATGCTCGTGACCTATTTGGTCACGGAATTGGAAATGCGCTGCCGATATCTGTAAGGGAAATACAAGTGATCGCTATGCAGCTGTGAACGAAAGCTACATCTTCAAAGGCATGTCTACGTTGAGGTGGAGGCAATAGGCCGCGTCGGTGTTACGTTTCAACATGTGCAAAACTAACAACATGCATGGATCAAAACAAAAATTAGAGCTACATGCGATTAATTAAATGCACATGTTAAGAAAAATACATGTACAACAGCCATTTTAAAATAAGCCTCCATTGCTCACAGCCAGAACCATGGCTCGTATGAGATTAAAATAACAAGATTATCCAAAAGTCCCCACATTTTAGCATATATATCATGAAAAATTGATCAACATAACACATACCGTATATGGTATACCTCTACATCGCAATTGACTTGTCAGGGCTTTTTTTGAATGAGAATTACCTTCACCTGGTACTGATAAAAAAATTTTATTAAGTCTATCAGAAGTATTATTGATTACAAGATCCCTGTTTGATTCAAGGAGAGACGAAGAATCTTACTCCTCCAATGTTGGTGTAACAATCCCGTCTGTATGTCAGTAAGCTTTCCACCAAATTAAATTCCTGCCCAGTTGACAATATAAAGTCTAATTATCAGCATAAAACACTCAACTGAGCTACGTCCCATTGAATTGCTTCAAAATTCAGCAAACGCGTAACAGCCTCGTAGAACATCATCAGCAAGACTGAAGAAATGTAATATATAATCCATGGCACACATCCACCATAAAACCAAACACCTACACCTATATACAGGCACACGCATATAATCAAAGTGTTTGTCGGGTGTCTTGATTTACCTTGATGTATCCCCAGGAAACAGACAAAAGATAGTTGGCCTCCGGCATTTTTGTCCTTTCTTTCTCCACAATTAACGTTTTTCAAACACAGTATATGGATACTGTATATATTACTTATAAAACGGCACGAGCAGATAATCCCATGGACGAAGTGCTCTCACTGACGTGCTCCTCAAACGCTCGTGTTTAAAAAAAACACACACACACAGACGAGACGACTGAAATGAAAACCCCGGAGATGCCCAGGGCTGACGATGACGATGGTTGGTGGCTGCGGTGGCGGCGTTGTTTGACACGGACTGCGTCGACGCCGCTGCTTTTATTAATCCCCGGCGAGGCGAGAAGAACACGCGGAGCAGAGCGTCAACGGTCGGAATGATCGCAGGAACGTTTGGCGCAAGGAGTCGCAAGCGGGTGATCATGAGCACAGGCGAGAAATGCTCGCGTTCCCGTTCCTCCGCCCACATTAAAGCCCCCCCCCCCCGCGTCTCCCGCTGCCGCTGCCACCACCCCCTTTCCCCCTCCCCTCGCCTCTCCAGTTCCACCCCCCCCCATCGCTCGTTCTGCACTCTCCTCCTCCTACTCCCTCTCACATCTCCCCCAAGCCACCTTCGCTCTCACGTCTCCTCTGCCACTCCCTCCTTGCCCCACCCCCCTCCATCTCTGCTCTCCGTCCACACTTCTGTATTTACAGCACTGCCAGCGCAGAGGTTTCACATCTACGTAAGAGGGCTTTTGTGTTTTTTGTTTATTTGCCAATCCGCACTGACCAGCATGGTGGATTAAAGTCAAACAATCGTTATGAGCGGGAGGCAGGGGGCCTTCATCCAGCAGTCAATTGACAAGGGCTTGTAAAATGAAAACTTTTAGAAATAAATGTGGATCACGAAACGTACGGTGGATTTTTTTTGCGGTTGAATAAAAAAATGAAACTTTAATTAAAAGATGACGGCCATTTATTTCCGAAGAAATATTAATTTATCTAACTGCTTTAAATTCATATTGCGATTTATGAATAGCACTGGTATTTTAAAACCTATTACTCACCGATTAACAATTTAGAAATTCATCTTCTTTGGTTCTTTCGGTAAAGTCACGTAGAATGAGAATAAAATAATAAATTGATAAAATAAAATAACACAATAATATTCTCACGACGTTTCGGCCACAACACAAGCGGCCTTCATTAGGTGAAGGGACGAGACTATCTGGTAGGACAGCGCTCCAGCGCTCCAGCGCTGTCCTACCAGACAGTCTCGCCGAAACGTCGTGAGAATATTATTGTGTTATTTTATTTTATCAATTTATTATTTTATTCTCATTCTACGTGACTTTACCGAAAGAACCAAAGAAGATGAATCATTGCAGTCACGAAAGCTTTAAATCAAAATTTAGAAATTCCTGAGAAATATTTTTTTCTCAAATTATGTTTTTTTAATCTCCCTTGATATGCACTATCTCTCTCTATGGCAGGTGAAACCCTAAGCCAGACACAGCTACTCATTTACAAGCGAGGAACCAGAAGTAGATGCTGGAAAATATTCATGATTCACCACTCATGAAATCCAAACAGTGACAACAAGCAAGGTACCACCAGGGATCTTCACATCTGACTAATACGGTACTATTCTTCCCTCCGGGTTTGTTTGCACATTTGCCTACTCTCCAACTCGTTTTTTTTAACCAGAATTATCAAGGCGGTTACACATCCCAGGGTCATCAGCTCCCTTGTGAGACGTTTATATCCCTCCCAGGATCTACACGTGGCGAGATAGATCTGTCCAGGACCAACAGATGGGGAGTTTCACAAACTAGACCACCTCGCAGTCAAAAATAAATAAAACATCATCACAATATTGGTAAATAAGTCACACTTTTTAAAGTAATTACGTACAGCCTTCAACAAGTGCCTTATTTGCATAACAGTTCACCGGTTTGACACGTACACTATACCCAATGCAATGTCCTCATCCTGGGCGTGGATGGCAAAAGTCAGTTTGTCCGAGTGCGTCCGACACTGTGGGTAACTTTATGGCCATTTCTCCCTCATTGAGAAAGGTAGACAAAATTAAGTTATGATCTGAATCGCAGCCCTAAATGGTCTACTTTCTAGGCCCAAACAGATACAAAACGCCCCAAAAAAGGAGACACCCCCCCCCCCCCCCGCAGTAATCATATGGCTGATGAAGATGCTTGAAAAGGGACGGTGTGGGGAGGAGGGGGGAGGGGTTCCGTGGCTTTTGTGAAATGTTTTCACAAACCAGTAAAGCACCTGAATGTACGTAAGAAATCGTGTAACTTCCCAGCCGGGAGCTATCATTGCGGTTGGGCTTTTCGGATTTTATAAATGCATTTTTAATTCCACGAATCTGGACGTGGCCACCGACACAACACTCTTGACTCACTCGTACGTTGCGTGTGTGTCTGTGTGCACGAGTGAATGAATGTGCACACACAGGATGGACCGGTGCCTGCGGGTTGGTGTTGTGAGAAATGAGACATCGGCCTCAACGCAACCTTCCCAGCTACGGCAGTGACACGCGGGTGGTGTAACGATTGGCGTCCACGCTCTCTCTCTCGTGAGAGTGCAAAGACGCATTGTGCAAGGAGGGGCATGTGGGTGGGACGAGTGTTGCGGTTGTGCTGTGCGTTGCACATGATCGTGCGTGCGTGTGCGTGTGTATATATGTATGTGTGGGGGAGCGGTAGTGTAGCGGTTAGCACGCTGCGCTACGAACCCGGGGATCCCAGTTCGATTCCCACTCACAACCAATAATAGTGGCGAATATTTGAACCGGTCCTGGGCCTCCCCTAGGTCGACTCAGCCTCAAATGAGTACCTGGTGCGGTGTGTAAACATTGCTACGATGGAGACCGATTAGAGCGTTTGGCTATGTATGGTGCGAAAGAAGTTCAACATACATAGATATACAAAAGCGGCTGGGTGTGGTGCTGGCCACCTACCCTACCCTGTCGTGTGCCGTGCCGGCCTTCATAGTTGCTCGCTAACAGCACTTGCCCCGAAAAGTATGGTGAGCTTATATGGGAATCTTTTTCTTTGTATGTATGTTTGGGGTGGGGCAGGAGGTAAGTATGATATGGACTGTGGTATTATGATTATTGGTAAAGATGAAAAGCAGTGTTGTATTGAGACGCAGGTATTGGAATTGGTTCGTCCCTACATTTGATGTGTGAAATCACCAATTGCTGATATTGACCACATCACTGTATAAACAATGTTTTGTGTGTACATATGGGTGGAGCAGTGGCTTATTGCTTAGGGGGTTGAACTATGAACCTAACAACCTGAGTTGGATTCCCACTCACGGCCAAAATCAGTGGTGAATATCTACAACTGGCCCTGTGGGCTTCTGGCCCAGGTTGACTCAACATTAAACAGTACCTGGTTCGGTGTGTAAACAGTGGTTACGGAGAGACAACGATGGCATTGTTCTTACCACACCACCCTCTTGTGTGCCAAACCAGCCTTCAAAGGTGCTCCCAAACAGCACTATCCCCAACAGACCTTTAAGGCTATGGCGGGGGTCTTTGTGTGCTTGCGAGGTTGGTCTCCCGTGCATACTCTTTTTTAAACCAAAAGAGGCCCACTCATAACCAGCATGGGCCAGTTATAACAGCAGCTGGGACAAA